TGGCCAAGCAGCAGCGCCCTGGGGAAGGGACCAGCCCCTCCAACGCCAGGCACGAGGCAATCGGCCTGTGTCGGGATGATGGGAAGTTACGCGGAGGACAGGTTTGCTCTCCTCTGTGCCTCCGCACTCAAGTGATGCAAAGGTCCCGTAACGCGCTGGAATACCTGCAGGATGGACGGGCGGCCAGCTGGAACACGAACCCCAGCGATAGCCCAAAGGTGGATCTGCCTGGGAGAAATCTCCCACCCCGATCCAGAGCTGGATGAAGGAGAAGGCGTTCAGAAGAGGGGTCCGGGCCGGAGCACCCCGTTTGGCAAGACCTGAAGGGCGTTAGGAAGGAGGATGCTCACGCACCTGAGCGCACATCCCATTTTCAGGCTCCTTCCAAACCACACCAAGCCCATCCAAGGGCCCTGCTGGCAGTGCGGGGCTAGCGGGACGAGGAGGTGGCCCCCCCTTGGGCAACCAAGGCAGGGAGCAGGAGGCAGAGCGCGGGGACAGCCCCTGCAAACCACCTCCTGGGCAGGAGGGCAGCGCGGGAGCCCAGCCTGACTTCAGGGGCAGAGGGTGCAATGCAGAGCCAGGGTGGCTCACACCCCCCCGGGGGGCAACCTGCCAGCCCAGAAGCCCCAGATGCTTTCCAACAGGATGCAAATCTCCTGCAAAGCTCAATTTTTGAGCTGCCAGTGCCCGGTTCAGTGGCGAGCGCTTCCGTGTCACAGGCAGGGACCAGAGCAGGGCTGACTGTCTGCCACGACTAATTCTGCGTGGCCAGACTTTGCCTTCCCCGACTTAATTTGGTGCTCTGAGACAATTAGACATTCTCCTGCTTCTGTGGAAAAAAAAAAGCAAGCACTGAAGGTAATTCAGAGAAGCTTTGATGCTGCTCTTTAGTCATTCGGGCACCACAGCCACGGCATCGCTCTCCGGACTGACCATGGGCTGGGGATGGGAGTTACTAATCCTCATGCGCAGCGTGCGAGCCTCGGGCAAACTGCACGGTCACTGTCCCTCGGCCCAGCAGGGGAGGGGCAAGAAAGACTATTTCCAGAGCGAGAATTTTAGCTTTAATAACCCCAAAGCTAGGGGTGCCTGGCAGTGGAGGAGTTTGCCGAAGATCACAGCGCGGCCGTGCCTAGAAATGCGAAGTACACACGGGAACCCGGGTCTGAACGCGAACTGGATGGCACTGGAGACATGAAAGCTGCGCCCAAGGCCACGTGCGCACAAGAAACATGCAAACTATACCCTTTGAACGTGGTTATAAACCACCCCCTCTGCTTTTTAGGCCAGAAGTGGGAAGGTTTTTCACCCCAGGTTACTCGCAGCAGCCCGGAGAAGGGCTGGGGACGCGGGGCGGGGGACCCACGCAGCTGCCTCCCTCCCACGCCAACCCTCGCCCGCAGGAATTTGCACTTGGGCTTAGCTCTAACCCAAACATCGTCACCCGGCGCGCAGCACAGGGCCAGGCGCTCGCCGTTCGCTCCGCGGCACAAGAAGGTAAATCCCCAGTGCAAACAAAAACAAAGAGCGAGGACGCTCTCGGCACTCGGGCTGGATGCTCTGGAGCAAGGACCCCTGGCTCTGTCCCCACCCTGATCCACAACAGCCGAGACTTTTGCAGCAACAGCAGCAGCTTCCCGACGGGGAGAGCAGAGGACGGAGGCTCTGCTCCTCAGCAGAAGCAGGCCAAGGAGACCTCAGAGGGGCAGGGAGCGGCCGCACCTCACAAACCTGTTCACCCTCGGCGCAGTCTGGGCGAGCCCAGCACGAACCTTTGCTGTAGGTGTGTCCCTCCGAACCGCTGCGCCATCAGCGCCGGGAGCATGGAGACGCTCCACGCCAAAGCCTCCGAGTGCCGGGGCCAGAGGGGTGGCTGCGGCAGGCCCCTGGACGAGGGACCTGAGCAGTGACCCAGGTGCTGAGCAGTGCTGGGCTGGGCCCTGCAGCCCGCGGCTGCCCAGCACTTCCTCAATCCAGAGCCGGGGAGGGAGGGGAAGGCCAAGCAGGCACCGAGAGCTGCTGCTGCTGCTCCGGCCTCAGCCCCAGGCCAGCTCCGAGCACGCAGGCTGCTAACCCCCCTCCACTGACGCCACTGAGCAGCTCCAGGCCACTCTCTGCTCCTTCCCATCACATGCTGAGGGCACCCACCCGGATCAGAAGGGGCTCTTTGGCAGACAAACCAACCTCCAGCTGTTCCTGTGCTTGAAAACAGCGATCCAGCCCTGAAGAAAACGAGGAGCAGCTATATACAGCCAAGATCCCATCAAATCACCCCCTCAAGCGAGCAAACTCCCAGTTTACATCCCGAGCAGAACACCATGGGGGGCTGGTGCTTGCAGCTCTAACAGGACCAATAACAAGCTACGCAGGGGTGCAGACACCTCTCAGCAGATGTGTCTTCTCACAAGAGCCAGCTCTACTTGTTCCCACCATAGCTGGACTTCCCACACCTCAATTCCAGGGAGCGTAGCCCCTCGCTGCCCGGTGCAGGCGACAGGCTGCCAGCCGAACCTGCAGCCAGCTCATCAGGGCTCTGCAGCCACGAAGGCCACTGAGAACTCAGCCCGGTGCTCGCCTGGGATGCACCTGGAGCAGCTTGGAGTAGACAGCAGTAACTTTCCCCAGTAACACAATACCTTCAAAACACCCCACATTCCTTGTTTCAAAGCAGGGACTTATTTCGGAGCTCCCAGGCCAGACTACTGCCATCCCATGCTGCCCCCTCTTGTTCTCCTTAAGCTGCCTGGTCGGTCCCACGCTGACCATTTCTCATAACCGTATGTCCCATTAGTCCCCCAAGACCCACCCCTTGTCACTGGACCCGAGTGTGTGACCAGAAGCCCCAGATACAGGCGTTATCACCGATGGCGGGGCCGAGGGCTGTGATGTACTTCTCATTCCTATTTTAATGGATGTGATGGTAGCAGGCATGGCGAGCTCAGCCTGTAATTGGAATTCCAGTGCTAAACCCAAAGATTCTCCATAGGAAAAGCTGATTGAAAGCAATAATCTTGACAGTTCTGCCAGATTCCAGATTGGCAATTAACGCAGGCAAGAGAGCAACAGCGCAGCTTAACGAAGGAGCAGAGCAACGAGGAAGGTCAACAAGCACCACAAGCCAGCGCGCTGGCTGTCCCAGGCACAACTGATGCTTGCCAGTTCCCAGGGAGCCGGTTTGCTCCGTACGAACATCGGACCCTTCCTGCGCTGCTCCCGCAAAGCCTCACCTGTGCCATTCCCAGCTCCAGGGGAAGGCTAAGCCTCAATCCACTGCCAGTCTGCCTTTCATCATTCCCATGACCCGAATAAGGGTATTACTACCCTCCACCTTCTTTTTTGCCTCCATCCACATTTTTACCTATTTTCCCAGTGCTTTCCACACCATTTAAGTCACAGGCCGGCTTACAAACCCCACTCGCTTTCCATGAGCATTTCATCCAAACAAATAAGCCAAGTTATCTCCGAGCAGCGGAGTTATCCGCGCCTTCAGGCAGAAGATCCTCCTCCAGAACTAAGCAGCCACTCTCCGGGGGTTAAGTAGCCCCAGGTGATGGTGCGACCTCGATCCTCTGAAGGCTTGGGAAGCCGAGCGCTCCGTGCTCTCAACCCTCAACACAAACTACACGCCTCAGAGGTCAGGAATAAAACGTTACTGTTCTCAGATTCCTTATCTGCGTTCAACTAACCTGCCCAAAGACATCTGACAGAGGCCAAGTGCCTTTGGCTTTCTAACAGTAACCCATTAGCGAGTGGCTCCAGTACAAGTCTCACTGGAATCAATCCAGGCACCACAGGGAGTCGTGGTGGGAAAGCAGGAAGGAGTTTGGTTTGCAAACCAGCAAACAGCTCTCCCAGTGATGTGTTCTGAAAGCTGAGAACAAGAGCAGTGCAGGTGAACGTACACAGGGAGAGGTACCACCAGGCGGGTCAAGCAGCTATGGTGCGGCCTTTCCTCGTCCAGAAGGAAACCAGCTCCACGGGGCAATCTGTCACTCAGGACACCATTTTCTAGACACCACCACTTGACGAACGAAGCACTGAACGCCCTTCTTCACTCTACGCTTCCCCTTTCTCTTCTAAAATCCCCCTTGCATCCAGAGGCAACTGGAATTAGCCAGAACACCAGAAATTCTCATTGTTTCCCATGTTGCAAAAATTAAACACAAGCAAGGAGTTCCTCCTCCTTCCCTAACCCTTTTCTGAGCTCTTCAGGCCCTCTTGAAAGCTGGAGTACTCACAAATCACATCAACTCGGAACAAAGAAACGAACGTTCATATTAAAATAATGGGAATTGTTAATTCCCATCATTCAGCTGGCATGCACCTTGCACGAAAAATTCCCACAACAACGAGCTGGACGATCCGCAGCGAGAACAAACAGCGGTTTCAGCTTCCAGCTACAGAGTGAAAACCCAAACGCTGCTGGTGGAAACTTCCAAGTAGTTTATTTAGGAACAGTTATGCCCATGTGCTGTGTTGGGTGGGTTTTTTTCCTTTTTAAATGCTCCCCTTTATGAAATTACCCGCATTTTGAAAGTGCCTATCGCCTTGATATAAAAAAAAAAGCTGTCTGGCATGAGAGAGATCTGGCACCAAGGAACTGCTGGTCTCCTGTTCCTTATCCCTCATTTCAGGTGGATCTACTGACTGAGGAAGGAAGCAACGGATGAAGTCCAGAAAAAGATCATCGTGTTTTCAGGCAAGGTTTAGATCAGAGACAAAACGAACACTGCGAGACCCAACTTCCCACGAAGAGCAAGTAACTATTTCTAAAGCCGCCCATGAAGCTAGTTTCCCAGGAAAAGCCTTGTAGGAATAGGTTCTACACTGTATTTGGGTGTTTAACAAAACGTGTATGGATAAAGAAGGATCCTGTCAGTCCAGAGTACAAATTCAGGTTATGCCTCATCCTAACTGGGGCAACCATTAACATCTGGGAAGGAATTTGCCACCCTTATCGATAAGGAAAGAGGCTCTATTTTGTCATTTCCGAATGTCACTTTTTTTTAAACAGACTTCTCTTTACAAAACTGTGTTTCTCAGTGGGGACTGGGAGTCAAAAGGGAAGAGAAGTTAGCCCCTTGGCTACTGTTTCATAGCCTTGGTGTAGGCAGCCTCACCTTGATGGTTTAGTTCTGCACCTACTTTTGTCTCTGTTTTCCAATCACACCCATATTTCTAGACCAAAATCCCAAATTACAGTATCAAACCGAGGGAGGAAATCAAATTATACCTAAGCCCTGGTCCATGCTAAGTAGATGTGTATCAGCCCTGACCAGGCCAACTTCCCCCACACAGAATGGAATTTTTCTGTTCTCCAGATTATTTTCAGCTATTTATAGTGTACGGATGCTTCCAAATAGATCATTTGTCTTTAATACACTGGGAGAGAATGTGAGTGCACACACATAGACACAGAACACAGGGAAGAAGATGGTAAAACCTCCCTCTGTTGGTTTCAGGTGCAGACCTTTGTGTCCTAGAACCTCTTGGAGCTTTTCTTTCAACACAGAATAAAACCTCTGTTCCTCAGGGGGTCCCGGTTAACTTTTGAATCCAAAGATGCCCTTTATATATCCTGTGAGGCCACTCTTGGCCTTCTGCTCCACCTTGTCCTCCAGAGGTGGGAAAGCAACATGGTTAAGGGCCAGGTCAAAGAACAAGGGTTTGCATGGGATGGGCTGGAAGCCCGGAGGGAAGTGCACGAGGCTGACTTGCTTGCTGACAAGAGAAGGATCCAGGCAGAAAGTCTCAAACCGTTCCGAGAGTGGCTGAAAGAAACCAACCCAGAAACGCAAATTATACACGTGTGAAATCAAAGCTGACAAGGGTCAAACAAGCAAAGAAGATAAAGCAGCAACTTGAGACAACAGAAGCTGAAGTTCCCCCTTGCGTGGTATCTTGGGCCCTTGAAAATGATTCAAACCCCTGGCCAAGCATCACTGCAAGTTCTCTAGACAAACATCCCAAGCGCAGGGAGAAAGCTAGATGTAAAACAAACGAAGATGCAATGCCAAAAGCTGCCAGCAGCTGCCTAGCTCCCGCCCAAGGAACCCCACCCTGCCAGCCACCTTCAGCACGTACAGGAGGAAAACAAGCCTCACTAAATCTCTTAAAGCACTAGTCACGACCAAACTCCAGTCAGCATGACATTTGAGCTCTAAGAGACACTCAGGTAACCGGTTAGGAGTGATGTTCATTAAGAACAAGACTGGAATTTGCCTGAGCTCTCAGCTCTTACCTTGCCATCCTTGACCTGAGATGGAGACTCAGTCTCATGAGTATCATTTGCATCTGCAAAACAGAAGAAAGAGTGGTAAGGGGCTAGATCTTGGCATGAACTGACTGACCCAGGAGTCAGCAGCCCTCTAAGTTTAGCTCTGAGCCTGGCTTTCTGGGATACATGACTATTTCCAGCAGAAGCAGCCTGCTTTTAGACTAAAAGGATCACATGTATTTTATCTACAGCCATCACAGCTTTCCAACGATGGAAAGCATCTCCTTCCCATTGCTGTGAGCAGCTCCTGAAAGCTGAAGTTTCCAGTTAAGCACAAAGCAGATGAAAATAAGGCCCCCAGTGGGGTCTGTTAAAGGAACATGAAGGCACCAGGAGACAAGGCAACCCATTACTCATCTTGGGTTTCCAGCAGCAGGCGCAGGAAAAGCAACAGCCTGAGAAATCATAAAGCTCATCCATTCCCCCAGGTTCCCCTACCCTGGTCGACACTGACAAAGAGCAGAACATCACGGCTCTCCTCTTTTTCAGCAGTTCTCCCAGCCAGGAAAAACTGGGATGAGTAAAGCCAACCTGTTCGCAGCAAAAAGAATTAAACCCCAAAGAGAGCGTTCTGTGCAGGTTACGAAATGCACATCCTCATGAAGCATCTTCACGTCTCTGGGCAGGGAGCATCGTGCCAAGTGTCTAGTCAGCGGTTGCCCAGCTGCACTACACACGGCTACAAAAAAAAGCTAGAACTGGGGAGAAAAATTGTTTTCCAGAGCCTGCATAAATCCGAGTGAAGTGAAAAAACAACTGGAACTTCAGAAACAAAATAAAAGAAATGAAAATAGCTGCAGCGGCATTATTCAAGAAACGTTAGACCTCCGGTATAACTGTGCAACTCACCTAATATAGCTGCTGCTTGCAAGGAGTATTTCTCTGCATTGACTTGAGTGATCAGATCCTGAACATCAGGCAGCTCCTAGGTCATGAAAGAAGATTATTTGAGAGCCTGAAATGTGCCAGAGTTTAAGAGTTGGCCCAAAGGAAGAACTAAGGAACTAAGTCCTAGTGCTGATACGCCTTCCCAGAAGAGGAAGAGCTACAGTCCAGTCCTGCAGGCGCTACAGGACGAGCATGGCAGAGAGTGCAGACGTCAGAGTGCGGTAAATCGTTACGGAGCTGTTACACAAATTACTACTGCCAAGCCAGGGGCCAGCTGAGGCATTTCCACATCACTAGAAAGTCTCTGCTATGATGTGTCACAGACACCCTTGAATTACTATTCTTCCCACTTAAACACTAGTCTGGAATTGCAATGGTCTGGCACCTAATTGACAACAAATACTGGGACAGAGCTTCATCATAAATTTCAGCTCCCTTCCGCACACAGGGTTGGGTTCCTACCTTCAAGCTGTTGGTGTAAGATCCAGCTCCTGACTGAACTTCACGGGCATATTTCAATACTCTCTCATATAAAACAAGAGCTTCACTCCATTTCTTTACCAGGACATAGGACTGTGCAATGAAGAAACACCTGCAACAGTAAAGAGCAGCTCATCGTGCCGTGGTCTGTCATCCACACCTTTCCCCAGCTCAAAAGACCAATAAGAGAAGACATTATTAAGCAGCACTGGCCAGTTTTCCCCTAGCATCCGTTCTTATTTCACAACACAGCAGAGGTAACCGCATCTGTACAGCACAGAGCTCTGGAGTAACAGCCTTTGAAGATGGAATGCCCACTAAAGAAAGCCTGGCTGTGTCTCAGTCACCTGTAAGCTTTGTACACAAGCGTCTTCAATCCAATCTCCTTTTGGAAGTTCTTGTCCTCTTCTAGGCCAGGAAGCTGCGTCAGTTCCACGAGGTTCTGTGCAAAAGAGAGAGAGGATTAAATTCAGGCGTTGTCTGCCTCTGGAATCTGCTGGAGTAAGAGAAAGCAGCCCCTTTTAGCAAGTCAACAGTACACTCCCATGGAAATAGTTTCCAGTTTTCTAATTATCAGTACGCTAACCTCGTAAAGGACACTCACTGAAACTTGTGCAAGTCTGCCCTCAGGACAGATTTCCTGACACAAACAGGAATTAGGACAAAGACTCCTCACATGAAAGAATTACTTCATGTGAAATAAGGCATTTCCCATTCCCAACTGCTTCAGCCACAGGCTCCCACAGTTAATTGAAACTTTATGTGAGAAATTGAGAAACTGCCTATGAAGAAGGCCATTTTAAGTATTTTTAGCTGCTACTTTTTCTGGGCCGCAGAAACTAAGGCAGCTAGCAGGGTGCTGTGTAAAACAGTCAGAAAAAACATTCTAAAGTGAAAAAACAAGGGCATCCATTCTAGCAGCATTTTCTGTTCACAACTAAAAGGATTTCTTTGTGCTTCTTGCAGAGGTTGAACACCTTCACCATGGTTACTGTAGGTACCGAGCTGCTCTTCAGACTCCACGGGCAGCTCGCCTGCGCTGCTGTATTTTCTATAATAACCTTTTGCACCAAAAGTTCTCCAGTCGGTCTGAATAACTGGATTTGTTTTCCCAGCATTACCTGCAAAATGATATCATAGAGACGGATCAGGTCCTGAGGCCGTGGCGTACGCTTGCCGTCGTCTTCTGACCGCTGCTGCTGCAGCAGTGCCTTCTGCAGAGCCTTTGCCATGCTCTCATTGCGCTTGATGGCTGTCGACAGCTTGATATAAGTCAAATAACTAGAAAGATGAAAGATAAAATACCATTAGCAGACTGTCAGAACTACTCAGACGTTACTCTCTGTTCTGAAAACACTCCTCCCTCCAGTCTAAGATGGTACCAGTGGGGTAAAACATCTCAGAGGTCAACATGAGAGTCTTAAGTCAAGTGTTTTCTAAGCTGCATGAATCACATCCTTATCCATACAGTCATCTGTTGAGGTGTGAGAAGCCCAGAACAAAAGCCCCATAAAACAAAACTAAACAAAAACCTTGACATGAGAGCATGACTTCTTCCCATTAGCACAGGCAGCAGTGTTTGCTTATTACCTGTGTAAGTACTGGATGTTGGACACCTTCACAGAATCATTTTCCAGAGAGTGTTCCCGCTGCTTCTGCGGAAATTGAGGACAAAACACTGCATGATTTACTTAAAACTGGCAGCCAAAAGAAAACATCAGAAATAACTCAAGGTTTGGATAAACCAGGAAAGGTGTAACAGACATCCAGGCAAAAGAACGAGGGCTTCTACAGTGCTATTCACCCTCTCCGGTTCTGAAGAGAATAAAAATCAAAAGATGATGGACCCTGCAGCTTTTTATTGAAGAGATCCCAGCCACTTCTACTGTTGGGCAAGTTTAACAATGACAGATCAGTCCCAAAATCCATGCTGTTCTGTTGAAAGTCGCAACACCAACATTTGCTGCTCACCTGGTCTGGTTTCAGATCTTCCCGCACAGCCTGGATGGCATCTCTACACTCACTGAGTAAAGACTCGAACAAACGCTCCTTTGTCTCCTCATTTTCTGCCTAAGAGCAAAGTTAAGACAGGTATCTGTTACCAGTTTTTGTATTTTACATCCCATCATGCAGGAATTAACCGAGAAGATTCAACAATATTTCTCCCAAATTACAGCTTTAAGATCCAGGGGAGGCTAGAACTCAAATCCGTAACTGTCTGCAGGATGTTTGGGGGGAAAAACGGGCAGAAACTGCAGGGAAGACGGTCGGTGGCAAGACTCCGGCAACACTGAAGGCCTAGCACACACATCCCTGCAACACCTGCCTTCCCAGCAACTCCCTTCCCTTCCAGGATGGCACCCACATGGGAACAGCTGAGGTTGGGAAAGGCACCAACCCAGAGTGCTCTTGTTATGCTGATTTAACCTTTTTCATGTGGTAAGAACACAGAGATGATTATCTTCCCTACCCTCCCACTCCAGTAATGCTCACAGCGGCAATAATGTGCTTGTTTAAAGCATCTTTTAAAGCAACCCTGTGTTTTAGTAGCAGGAGCGACCGAGCACTGTCACCACCAGTTTTGTCAAAAAAATTAAGCGGCTTTTGGCCTTCCAAAACCCAAACCTCAAAACGACTTTCAGAAAACAAGTTGAAGCCTGATCTCTGCCTAACGGACTGGCACACCAGGTACCCCGATTAAACAAGGCCCCCCCGAACCAAAGAGGAAGGACTACAGCGTAGCAGCACGGCGTTACACCCCTTCATGTCCCGTAACGGCGCAAGGCAAAACTCTGCTGTGCCAAATTGTCCAAACGAGTGAAGAACTGCCCGAAAATATGCTCGTCTCTCTTCAGCAGAGCTGTGCAGTCTCTGCCTCTGTTCAGCTTTGCAAACCCATTCAGGAATATCATTTTACTCCCCCACAAAGCCTCAGGTGTCCTGACCCGAGATGAAGGCATTTTTGGGGTGGGTCTTTTTGTTATTTTTTTAAATTTGCTGCAAGGATTTTTAAGGTGGGACTAACAACTGAGAATAACTGGAGACGAGTCCGACAGCATTCTCAACCTCACCCTGAGGAGCCCAGCAATTTCACTGTACGCACAAAAATGACAACAGACACAGCCAGCTCATCAGTCAGGCACAAAGAGGGAAAGGGCTGGGCCACGCAGTGAAACAAAGGCTTTCCTTTCCAAGCAAAAACTCCTGAGGTTAAACTGATTCCACGCGTAAATACGCATAGTCCTGATGTGGGAGACACCAGATGGCAAAGCTGAGATCCAGGTGCTACAGCTGGTGATTCAAGCACCCCCACAGAACCGCACAGCTTCCTCTTAAAGGGATCCAGGGAAGGGAACCCACTTTTGAAAGTCTACGAGTGCTCATTTTAACCTTCCCTTTGTTCTAAAGCATGGCCTATCGTCTCTGGGAGTCACCGCCACGCGCTTTCGCTACAGACCTAGTTACCAGAGATGAGCACAGGACCCTTGAGGCAATGCCAGACCAGAGCACACTTCGCTGCCTTCTCACTTCTGCCTGGTTAGAGTCAGCAGGCCCTTGAGTCACGTGTTCAAGTCTACAAAAGGGCTGACTTACGTAATTTTAGACTTGGATTCATATCTCAGTTTGGCTTATTTGTTCCGTTCCTCCGGTTACCAGAGGCGATGACATAACTGTGCTGAGAATCTTCACTTTCACACAGCACACACCTGTGCATCTGCTGATCAGCTCCTGAAGAGCACTGGTGGTACGGGTTTCAGCTCAAGGAGGACTAGCAGAAAGGTGCCACAGATCCCAGGAACCACCTCAACGCATTTAGCTGAAGCTGGGCTCCCCATCACCACTGACAGGGCGACTGCAGAACTGCTTGCAAAAGGCCCAGTTTTAGCCCTCGGGGAGTTTAAGTACATTCAGCTCTCACCACAGCTAGTTGTGATCTGACTCCTGTTCCCAAGCTTCCAGGGGACACAAAGCAAAACGACAACAGATTCAGATCGCTGCTCTGCCACAGCTTTATGGGACAAAGAGCGTAACTGAAGTGGAAAGATCCAAGTGCTAGCCTGGCAGGAGGAAGACTCAAGGAGGGAGTACTAACTCTAAGCTGCACTTCCACCTGCTGGCCACGCTAATGGATTGCCGACAAACACACGCAGCTACATAAACTCCTAACATGACGGCAAGACCCGTTAACGTTGTTTCCTACCCCCCGTATCCTGTTCATCCTACTCCCACTATCTCCTGCTCTTGCCTGATTGCCTCGTACCTCTGCAGGGTTTTCATTTTATCATTTGAATCGCTATTTATGCTCATTATTCTACTGATAAATGCATTTTGATGCTGCAAAACGCCCATCTCTGTGGCAACAACTGTTACCAAGGACCCTTTGGTTGCCTTTTCAAACAGCAAAGGTGCTGTATGCAGCCACTGGGAAGCCAAATACACAACCCGGGCACCATTTCCAAGGAAAAAGCTCCACGTGGAAAATGTGGCTGCAAAACTAAAGACGTGCATAGTGTGTGTCACTGTGTTAAAGAGCTGTTACATCCGAAATTAATTTCCATCCTGGCACATAGCGATCCTCTTCCTGCTTGTGAGGATTTGCATAAGTCAAGAAGAGAATGCTATAACCTCACAGCTTCACCTGGCAAATTGCTTTTTGCTGATGAAAAATGGTGATCGAGACAGATCTTTTGTCTTTTGGTTGCTCTGAAGCTGGACCATTTGGGCAAGACCCTTAAAGAAATGAGAACAGTAATTCAAAACCAGCTACTCTTAAAACTGTAACTTTCACTTCCAAGTAAATTACAAATAATAATGGTTATCACCCTGCCACTGAAAGGCAACACTTCGGGGTAGAACAGAGTGTTCAAAAAAGCAGTAATACTCACTGAGTGAGCAGAACAGATCACCCAAACTACCACTTAGTAGGCTGTGGGAGCTATGCCCAACTGACCCTTCAGCTTTGGGTTATAGTCGATATTCACCCTTTTACTCTTCCAACTCCAAGTTTGAGAAAAAAATATTACTTAAAATGTTTAAGTCCAGGTACAGTGTATGATCTGGCACACTGAAGGAAGGAGGACAGACACCAGCACCGGAGACGGCTTCTGGGTTACCTGAGCAATCGCTGCTTCATTGTCAGCCAGCCCCAGCAAGAAGATCCTCACTTTGTCTATCTTCACCGGAATGGTTCTTCCCCTCCACTCCACCTCGCTCATCGTGGCTGCCTGCTTCGCTCGCGTTTGGGTAATCAGCGCCTGCAGAGAATGGCCTGAGCTTTAAGGTATCCAAAACAGAACCTTTCAAATCCATGTGAGACTTGAGTATTTTGAAATCAAAAGGCTTTTTAGGAAAGTGTGGTTTCTCACAGAGCCCAGGCTTGCTTGCTCTCTCCCGAGATGTTTTGGCTCTGGAACGGTGTGCTGCAGCAGGGTTTATGCTCAACGGAGCAATAATGAATGTTTCAACTGGAAGCATGCAAATAAGTTACCTCCAGCTTTTCTGCAAGAAGACCTTCAGTGCCACCAGACCTCAGCCTCATCTGCATCAACTCATTCATAGCAGACTGGTCACCTGAGGGAATTAACAAATTAAGATCACATTTCCAAGATGACAAACTACTTCAATATAGAAAAACTAATCAAGAGATTTTATACTAACCATTTGGGGAAGAAGGGGATAAATTCACAATTTCATCCTGACTTCATAAGCAAACTACCACAAACCGCTATTTTGCCTTTTTTACGCAAAACCACATGCACTGTTACAGAATGAGTGTATTTCTCCTCCGTTAAACTGACCCAAACGTGTGCAGAATTTGCCAACAATATTACAGACTCACTCCAGGGTCACTCAGACCAGTTTTCAACTCTCCGTTCCTGGGAGGCAAGCCTTGCTCTTTGCGGGACATTAGTCGCCCCTCCCTTTCCTTACCGATATTATAGGCACAGTAGCGAATGTTGGGCGAGATCTCTTCCACACGCTGGTTGTACAGCACAGCCTGTTCTTCTGTGAAAGCATTGGCCAGTTTTTCATATATGGTCCTACAGCAAAGAACACGTTAACAACGCAGCACGTGCCGGTTTGCGAAACGCTGTCTTAAGGGAACAGTCTTTGTCTCCACTCCGGGGGGCGCCGTTTCTTCAGTAGTGCCCCCCAGCTAAGTGCACAACTAGCTAAACAACCCAGAGGTGCTGTACATGCCGTACACAAACTTACTAGACTGATCCAAATCTATTTACTAAGTGAAGTTAGGGAAGCGGGGGCGCACTCACTTGCACTTGTTGAAAGCCTCCATTGCTGCCTTCCACTCCTGGTGTTCAAAACGCAGCATTCCCGTGAGGTAAGCCATGTATGCCTGCACACAGCACAAGGGCGAGTTAACCTCCCCAAAAACAACAGCCTAGTCTGTACAACCTTCAGTATGAAGGCTGCTGCAACGCCTACACTAAGAGATTAAGCCTTGCCCTTTTCTTTTCGTCCTCCCACAGAAGACAAGTGATTACCTGAAGCCTACAAGGAATCTGGGGGGGAACTTTTTACAAGGGCCTGTAGTGACAGGACAAGGGGGAACGGGTTTAAGTTGAAAGTAGGGAGGTTTAGATTAGATATCAGGAAGAAATTCTTCCTGCAGAGGGTGGGAAGGCACTGGGACAGGTTGCCCAGAGAAGCTGTGGATGCCCCATCCCTGTGAGTGTCCAAGGCCAGGCTGGATGAGGCTTGGAGCAACCTGGTCTAGTGCAAGGTGTCCCTGCCCATGGCAGGGGGGTTGGAACTGGATGGTCTTTAAGGTCCCTTGCAACCCAAACCATTCCATGATTCTATGATTTGGATTTGGAAAGGGAAGTACTAGCTACTTCCCTTTTTTTCTTTAAACTGACATTGCTACATTTCTAAGGAGATGAAAGCAAAGCTGTTTCTCACTTGTTACGCAATCAACTTGGCCCACTGATATCACAAAACTTGAGGTTTCCAGCAACAAGCTGCAAAATGGCAGTTTTCATTAACTGAGACACCACTACAGCCCTTCTTCCAAGAGGCTACTGTCACAACAGTCTGTGTGTTCCAGGAACCAGACCCAAAAGCTGGTGTTCTAGGTAGCTATTTTAGGACATTAAAAAAATAGCTAAGTCAACAGCTAAGCACAGTTTCTTAGGCTGTGTTGTTACACCTTAGTCTCTCTCAATTATTTTTACTTTTATTAAACATACTGCTCTTTAAAGCAAGGACAATCCCTTGATACACTTAAAACTTCTAAATGCCAGGCCGTCTTGGCTGGTGCCACTGGTTATTTCTGCAGTTACAGGAGCTGCATTAACAGTGAGGCCAAGCTGTTCAGAGGCAGACATCAACCAGCTTGAGAACCTGTCAGTTTTGATGATCTACTAGATGAGACTGATCTCTCCACCCAAAATCCAAAGGTTTCTCATTCAGCTTTTGCCGAAAGCCAGATCACAGCATCAGTGGCTACCTGAGCTTCCAGCTTTGTTTTGGCATCCACTCTGCTACTTTCACAGAGCCGCTCCAGCTCCTCGGCATGTTTCACGGCTTTGCGCAGGCGAGACAGCAAGTGAAATCGTTTGCGAGGCTCTGTGTTTGCTTCCTGTTTCAGCTGCATGGCGTAACTCCAGGCTCTCTCTGCATCCATCAGAATCAACAGCAAATACCTGTGGGGCAGACGAAGATTAATGAACAAACCCATGGCATTCAAGCAAGTATTACCGCCCCACCACGCAGTCTTTGCCACGTGGTCTGCAAAGTTTGGTAGAAGTTCAGCCTGGCTAAAAAGAGGTAAATGCTTTTATTTCTTAACATTCTAAGCACACAAAGTCCTATCAACCCTGTTTTCTACTGTATTTCTCACTACACAAGTGCAATCACCCAGCTGTGGAAGAGAATTCGGTATCACGCTGCAGTACCAGAGATATTGTGAAGAGACAGAGGGATTTAGGATTTTAGGTCACTCTTCAAACTGGTTGAAGATGGATAACACGGCTGTTTTCCCACCAGCTAACGCTATAATGCATCCGGCTTCTTAACAATACAGGTGAAGACAGCATCACGTTTTCTCTTCCCCACAAGAAGAGATGAGACAGGTGGCATTTTAAGTGTTTCCAACAGCCGGGAAATGAGACCAAGATCCCAGCTATTCTCCACATGTTCTATCAGACAAGCATTCTGTCACACTACGAAAAATCTAAGTAAAACTTGCAAGCCAGTATTTCTGTTCAAAGGGAAGGGATGGTCTCTCCATCCACCACCTTGCTGGCTACACCAATCACGTTACCTTGACGGGTCTGAATTAGCATTTCCTGAATGATGAAAGATCCCATTTTAACTGTGAGGGAATGAACTGGCCGTGGCTGTTCCCTCTTCTCCCACTTGTTCACATGATCAAGCAGGATGTGAGCAGTCCCTTTTCCACTGCACTGCAGCCTCAGCTTTCTACTTTTATTAATATCAACAACACATATCTCCAAAAAGGTAGGTTTGGGTATATTGCACAGAAGAGTTTTTCCTGACAGCCACATGAAAATAAATTACTCAAGTGAAAGAAACTATTCCCTAATACACTGAATGCTCAGTTCTATCCAGTGACTGTACCTGTTGTCTGAGAGAATCTCTTCAGTTACTTTCTTCCCAGTGAACTTGTGCCTGTTGCCCATCTTGAAGTTGAGAGTTTTTCGGAGCCGCCTCAGCCTCCGGGAGCAATAACCCCTGAAGAAAAGACGACCGCAGTCAGTGCTGCCAAAGAACAACTTTGGTTTTGCTTACTGCTCTCTCCAACTGTGAAAAAAGGACTAAAGGCTGTGACAGGCAACGTTTTAACTCCATACTTGATACATGATAGGAGGCAGTTCAGAACTACCTGTAAACCAGTGATTAATAGAATACAGGGAAGTTAAGAAGACGGGCAGCCATCCCTGATCCGGAAAAATCAGCATGCTGTTCTCCTTACTAATTGCTTTGTGTGTATTTACTGGAAACTCAGTTCTGAAAGAGTATAGGGATTCTCAGTGAGGTGTTAACAAACAGGCTCTCAAAGGGCAACAGAGAGCCAGCCTGTATCCTCCTAAACGGAACAGTCACAGCACATCCAATGGGGAAAAAAAAAAAGTGTACAGTGCTCCACGTGAAGCAACCGAAGGGTATTTACCTGGCAGATCGTTTTTGTTGCCTGCTGCAGCGGGTTTACATTTTAAATAAAGCAAGCCAAACACACCAGTGACCCCCAGAGGGTTTACTGACCTGTACCTCTGGAAGTCTCCATGTCGCAAACCGTGCTGCTGCTGAGACTCCTTCACGATCTGAAGGACTGTGATTTGCGTTAAGGCAGATGGACAGTACAGTCTGTTACCAGCTCTTCCTTCGACCCCAAAATAACGGAAGGGAACTCTGTAGGTTCCATTAAGCAAATGCACTTTGAACAGAGAGGTACCAAAAAGCCTCCTAAAAGCCCACAGGTGAAGGAACGGATGGTGCCCAAAGACCTCGTGACTCCAGTGCTTACTTCAGAGCTGGAGGACTATGATCACAGCCAGGACTAAGCCATTCCACAAGCACCTCCTCTTACAGAGCACCCTCAGAGTCCTGGGGCTGTTAGAGCACAGTTTCGGGATAAGCAGCGATGCCGACAGATGCATCCAGGCTAACATGACTGCCCTAGCTACGTTATCCCAGAATCACCATCATGACACAGTTTTTTGGCAAAACTGAACTACAGAGCGAATCTTTCCTGCCCTTAAACATCTCATCTCTCAGGAAAAGGACGGAAGCACGCCGAGCAGAATCACTGCCGCTGTCTGACATAGCCTTCCACAAACAAACTGCTTTCTGAGTAGTGAGACCCTCATAAAACAGCTTTCGAGAAGTATTCAGGGGGTTTGCTCCCTACTCAATTTTCCAACACCTTTCTGCTTTCCTGCTATTATTGTAACAAGCACTCCGTGCGGAAAGTGCTGCCCTGTGACTTGCAAGAGCATCACTCCATGATCTCCACCCCATCTCTGCATTCTTTAGCATATTTGCCGATTTCTACGCACCCTGTATTTACTTTATTCACTTAGTTACGCCATCAAATAAAACCATGCTGCCTCCTTCTCGTGAATGTGTTATATTAATTCAGTTTACAAGGCATTCTTTTTTTATCTGGGAAAGAAAATGTTGCAGGTATTTATATCCCAAAATTTCCCCTTTGAGCTTTGCCAAGAAGCCTTAAAAAAACCACAAAGCCAGACCATACAATGGCCCCATCAAAAGCAACACTATTACTACAGCTGGAGAAAAAGAAACCACCAGACTTTTCAGTTTAAAACAGCAAACCTCCACCAAAGCGTTTTCTTGTAATTACACCTAATAGGAAGTCCCTTTAGTTCAGTTATTGAAAACCTGCATGGATAGTTATTCCAGTGAATTAGTTTGCACCTGTGCAAAATCTAGTCAAACTGCAACGCCTCAACACAACCGGGGATGCATGCTCCTCGTCCTCACCGTCAGACCTTCTTCAGACTTTCCGCCTGTGCAGTTTCCCACTGCATCCACGTCTCCCATCCCATTTACCTTTTCACTGATTTAGGCATTCCCAACATCACCAGGGCAATTACTGCCTCCACATCTTGCTCTACGGTTACTGACTTCACACCCGCCATACGCTAAACGGAAAACCGCAGCCTTATTTCAGCCGGGTTTTCCTCGGACCCAGAAGGTAAAGCTCAGCTCCAGCACAGCTGTGCAGCCGGACTGGTTTCACATGAGAGTTTCACATATAAAAACGCCGCACGTTTCACACGCCACATCAGACTTTGTAAGCGCTGAAGACCGAGGGGCTGGTCTGCCATCTCAGTGTAGCTGTTGGGTTTATTTTACCCGCTACTGGCCGCTTCAAGCATTAATTACTCCCAGATTACCGACAGCTCGCTACAGCACGCAGCCCAGAGCCCAGCGCTGCTCTCAGGGCTGACGACAGCTCTCAGGCCGTTCG